AATATTATTATATCGTTTTATTTAATATATTTATCTATCATTTAAATATAATAATATCATTTAAATATAATAATATCATTTAAATATAATCACAATATTTAGATATAATAATATTATTTAAATATAATATAATATTATAATAAAAATATTAAAATATATTTTGAAATAAAATTTCTCAAGTATTACAATTTATAAATAAAAGCAATTTGTAATAATATAATATTAAAATATATTTATAAATAAAATTTATCTGTAATATTATAATACATATTAAAATCTATTTATAAATAAAAAGAACGTGTAGTAATACTAGTAAAATCTATTTATAAATAAAATTAACCTGTAATAATATTAAAATCATTTATAAATAAACTAACCTGTAATAATATATTAAAATCTAAATAAAACTAACCTGTAATAATATGAAAATCTATTTATAAATAAACTAACCTGTAATAATATATTAAAATTTATTTATAAATAAATATTTATATTTATAAATAATAATAGACAATATTAAGATGTATTTATAAATAAAAGTAATTTTTATAATAAATAATATTAAAATCTATTTATAAATAAAAAGTATTTGTAATAATAAATAATATTTAAATCTACTTATAAATACAAAGAATTTGTAATAATATAATAAATATTAAAGGGTGTTTATAAATAAAAGTAGTTTACAATATTATAATAATCAATGTTAAAAACAGCTTATAATATTATAATAAATAATATAATATTAATATATTATATTTACAATATATTTATAAATAAAATAATTCATATTATTATAATAAATAGTATTGAATTATATTTATAAATAAAAGTAATTTATCAGCCTGGATAACCCAAAATGTTTAAAATATATGTTTAGTGGGGGTGAAATCAATGGAAACACAGAAATTATCTGGGTTTTTTTTCCTGCCTTGGGGAATTTTGATAAGAAATTTCACTTCCAGCGAGGGAAAAGAGCTCAAGTTGTGACCTAAAAGTGAAATAAAGTCCCAGAATTCCAGGAGAGTTTAGTCTGGATTTCCCACTCCAGGGAACTTCCTGCCTGGTCTCACCCAACCCCAAAAAGTGCCCAAAGAAGGATGTGGGAGATTCCCAAATCCATCCCTTTGGATTCTCGAGTCAAATCCCAAGAGATTCCCAAGGAAAAATCTCCTGGGATTCCCCCCCTGCTCCTTGATATTGGAAATAACCCATTTTAACCCATTTTAAACCCATTTCCCTCCTCCCCAATACTCACTTCTCTTAATCTCCTCCAACTTCTCCATGTATTTGGACAAACTGTTTCCTACAAAAACAACCACCAAAAAAAAAAATCAGTTTATTCCAATTATTTATTTCTTGGAGGTTTTGTTTTTTTTTTTTTTTTCCAGGCCTATTAAAAGCTTAAAATGTTAATTTTTGGAAGGAAAACAACTGTTTTTTGTGGATTTTCTTTCCCCACGACAACATACAAGGTATAAAAATACCACTTTTTCCCTTTTCCAAAGAGAAAAATCCAAGGATTTGCTGCCTCTTCCCCAATATTTTTGGGAGGATAACAAAAGCAGGTGCCCCTGGATCAAATTCAGTTGCTTTAACACCAAAAAAAAGACCCCCCAAATAATTATTTTGGCTCAAATCCTTGAAGAGATCCAAGGAAAAATCCATGTTGAGGAATTCTAAGGGCAGTAAATTCCATGGGAACCATCACAACAGAGCCTGAACAAGTTCAAACCTATTTAACCCCCTCTTTAAAACTATTTAAAGCTCAAGTTTTATTTTAAAAAAAGGAAGAACAGAGAAAATAAACAGGTTTTGACTTCGAACACCCCATTTAATCTCAGTTTTGAACGAGATGCAAAGTGGTGTGGGAAGATAAATATATAAATATATTTATGAATATACATAAATATATAAAAATATAAATACATCTGCAGGTTTGGGGCTTGGTTTAATTTCAGCTTTACAAGAAATTTGTAAAACAGGTCGATTTTGAAGAGTTTCAAACCTCTGGATCACAATCCCAGTGAGAAATTCCACAGGTGTTTGGGGTAAATCAGCTCAGGGCAGAGACATTATTGACGAAGAAATTATTAATTAAGACATTAATTATACAATTTATAGATAAAGAGATGAAAGAATGTAAAATAGCACAGAAATAAATTATAAAATATTATGATTAATAGTATAAATATGTTATATATAATTTATACTGTATATATAGTTAATATAAATATATACCATATATGTATAAATCCACTATTAATTAATAATTTATATATATTTTTATATATATAAATAATAAATAAATATATAGTGGATTTATATATATAGTATATATTTATGTTAACTATATATACAATATATACAGTATACATTATATATAATATATTATAGATTATATTTATATATTTAAATATTATATGTTTCTATGTTTATATATTATATACTATATTATATATAGTATATATTTATATATATAGCACATAAATATTATAGGTACTTATATATAATATATAAATATACTAGATATTTATTTATATAGTACATATAGTATATATATTAATATATTAGTATATAATATAGTATATATTATATATAGTATATAAATATACTGCATATATTCATATATAGTATATAAATACAGTATATTTTCATATATAGTAAATATAATATATAAAATAGATATATTTCTATATTTATACATATAAAATAAATATATTTTTATTTATAAAAATAAACAAATATATTACAAATATGTAATATAATACATAAAATACATATCAATATATAAAAATACAACTTTTACATCCTCCCACACCCACATTTGGGGGTTTTTTTTCCCCCCCCAGATTTTTACTCACCAGTGTCCAAACGGGTTTTTACGTGTTGGTATTTGGGGTTCTGGGGGATGCGCCGGGTCAAATACTTGGGGAAAAAGGGGAAAAAATAGGAAGAAAGTCAACGTTTT